TTCCCAGTAGTGATGTATGGAAGTGAGAGCTGTACCATAAAGATAGCTGATCGCCGAAGAATTGATGCTTTTGAATTATGGTGCTGGAGCAGACTCTTGAGAGTCCCATGGACTGCAAGAAGATCAAACCTCTCCATTCTGAAGGAAATCAGCCCTGAGTGCTCACTGGAAGGACAGATCCTGAAGCTGAGACTCCAGTACTTTGGCCACCTCATGAGAAGAGAAGACTCCCTGGAAAAGCCCCTGATGTTGGGAAAGATGGAGGGCACAAGGAGAAGGGGACGACAGAGGACGAGATGGTTGGATAGTGTTCTCGAAGCTACCAGCATGAATTTGACCAAACTGCAGGAGGCAGTGGAAGACAGGAGTGCCTGGCGTGCTCTTGTCCATGGGGTCACAAAGAGTCGGACACGACTAAACGACTAAACAACAACAACAACAAGTAGTAGTAGAAGTAGTAGTAGTATTAAAAGATGTCAATCCTCCCAAAGTTTCTCTGTTTGTTTCAAGTTCTGCCGATGACTATCATGCCTAAACATCTTAAAGTTTGGCAGAGATCATTGAGTAAAGTCATTCATAGGAGAAAGAAAGTCCAGTTATGCAGCAGTATATCGTATAATAATGTCTACAAGGGAGGTCTGAGAGTGCCCCGTTTGCTTATATATTATAAGCCATTCCAAGTCAGGAACTCGGTCTCTCTTTGATCCAAGATCCATGAGAAAAACCACGGATTGATATAGACTTGGAAGATCGGAAGTTTAGGGTATTTCCCTTTCTTATTGTTACTCAAAAATCAATTCACAAAATGGAAAACCCATTTTTTACTCAGTACATTCAGTGTTTGGCAAACAATACACAAAAAAGCCATTCCTCCGACCTCCCCGCTGATTCCACTTAAAACCCCAGGTTTTGTGAAGCTGGAGATATGATGGACTGGGAAGAGGGGGAACAAGCAGGTCTATATAGACGCAGGGATTTTAATGCACATGGTTCCCCACTACGTAAATAACAGATTTTAGCTAAAATTCCCAATGTAATGCAATGTGGTTGTGGTTTAATTTTAATCCATTGTTCTTATTTCTGTTAAAACCATTCAAGCAGACAGAGAGTTGTCCGCTTTGGAATAAATTATGGTCAATGTTTCTGCTACATCAAAGGGTGTAGTATCAACTATAGATAAAATATTAATGGAGGTAGAATCTGGCCATCTTATGTCCACAAAAATTCCCTGGGAAACGGACCTTCAAGTAATGAAACATGCTTTGCAGGCAAAACACATTGTAAAACAGTTTTGGCCCAATTAAGGGAATATTCTTTGAAACTCTTACACAGGTGGCATCTTTCCCCTTTGTGAATATACCACATGATACCAGGAGCAACATCAACCTGTTGGAGGGGATATGGAGAAACTGGATCCTACAGACATATGTGGTAGTTTTGCAAATCTGTTTACCCATTTTGGATTCTGGTATTTAAAGAATTGAGCTTAATATTCTGAGCACAATTCAAAGTGTTGCTGCTGACCTTTAAAGCCCTAAACAGCCTCAGTCCAGTATACCTGAAGGAGCATCTCCACCTCCATCATTCTGCCCGGACACTGAGGTCCAGCACCGAGGGCCTTCTGGCGGTAACTGCAAGAGGGCCTTCTGGCCCTATAACTGCGAGAAGCCAAGTTACAGGGAACCAGGCAGAGGGTCTTCTCGGTAGTGGCGCCCGCCCTGTGGAACGCCCTCCCACCACATGTCAAAGAGAAAAATAACTACCAAACTTTTAGAAGACATCTGAAGGCAGCCCTGTTTAGGGAAGCTTTTAATGTTTAATAGGTTACTGTATTTTAGTGTTTTGTTGGAAGCCGCCCAGAGTGGCTGGGGAAACCCAGCCAGATGTGTGGGGTATAAATAATAAATTAGTAGTAGTAGTAGTAGTAGTAGTAGTAGTAGTATTACTGGAGCTACAGCCTTCCCTCCAACTTGCTTTATTTGGAATAAAGGCCATGACTGCTCCACCAGTTGCTCATAAAGAACTTTTCATGTTCCTCCTTGCGGCAGCACATAGGGAAATATTCATGTGATGATGGCACACTGCCTTGGACTTGAATATTGAAGCATGGTGCTCCAGAGCATGGACAATGGCCCTGGCTGAAAAGCTGGCATGCCAGATTCGTGTGACAAAGGGAATTCTAACCCCCTTCTTTTCTCTAATGTGTGGCAACCATTTTGGAATTATGTGCATCAAGAAGGTTGTATTTATCACCCTCCAACATATCATGGTAACACAGTGGTACCTCAGGTTACATACGCTTCAGGTTACAGACTCCACTAACCCAGAAATAGTGCTTCAGGTTAAGAACTTTGCTTCAGGATGAGAACAGAAATTGGGCTCCGGTGGCACGGCGGCAGCAGGAGGCCCCATTAGCTAAAATGGTCTTCAGGTTAAGAACAGTTTCAGGTTAAGTACGGACCTCCGGAATGAATTAAGTACTTAACCTGAGGTACCACTGTATGTGGAAAGATACTTTTTTTAGTGAACTGAAAGAATTAGATTTGATATTTTTAAGCAATGTAGCTGATGTGTTGTGACTTGTGGTGTTTTACATGTGATGTGAAAAAATGAACATTAATTAGAAAAATAAAACAACCACACAACAGGGAACTCTGAGAATTGCAGTTCTGTGAGGGGAATAGGGGTCGCCTAACAACTCTCATTGCCCTTCATAGAATCATGGAATTGTAGAGTTGGAAGCAAGCTTTAATGAACGACTGTTCCCAGAATTCTCTGAGGAATGGCGTGACTGTCTGAGGGGGTATCATAGTGCTTTCAATCTATGGTGTGGATGTAGAAAATGTTGTGTCAAGTGTCAACCTACACTTTACCAAGCATTCCCTCATCACTTTTTTTACAGGAAGAAGTCTCCTTTTGGAAGTGGCTTTGTTGTGCAAGAGGCCAAATCTGTTTTAACTGCACAGCCTGAATTTGCCACAGCATTCCATGATGATTCCTGAACAATTCTGAACATATCAGCAAAATATAAACACTGAATCAACATTTCAGTCAGCCCATTAAAACATCTAACATAGATACATTCAAGAGACTGTGCAATGGAAAATACCGAAGCTTCGCAATAAAAATCCTAAGAATCCAAGTTAACAGCTAAATAGTCTGTCAGCACAAACTGAAATACAGAGAAGCCAATGGTACAAAGCCAATGTATGATCTTATTTCTACCCAATCATTAACAATTCATTTCCGAACTTAAGCCTGCAATCAGAATATCAGCAAATCAATCAAAAGCTCTTCATCCCATTAAATTCAAAATTGCACAGTCCACCAACAATTCAAATTGAAAGGGTTTAGCAATAAAATAACACCATTTCTGAATTAGGAGCAAATGTAATATGGTCACATTTTTCGCCCACCCTGGCAAAAGAGGCTTTCATTGTTCTGCTTCACTTCTCAGGGCACTTTAGAATACATTTAGAATATCAGTGGGTGTGGAGATTTGAGATTATCTCACTTTGTGACTTGGTCAAAGTTGGGGTGTGTGGGTGTTCGATTTTCTTTTCAATAAACATTTCTCCAGCATGCTGCAGCATCCCTGGCCACCCACACTTCCTGAACTAAAAAAACCAAAAACAAATCATGGGATGAGCTATTCACAATGCATCCCCCTGGGCTGTGATGGAGCCCCACAGTAGGCAAAAGATTCCTGCATTGCAAGGAGTTGGACTAGATTAACCTTGTCGTCCCTTCCAACTCTACAATTCTGTGATTCTGCAAAGTGTGAGCACCCGGGAAGGCTGCAGAAGACACACAACCGGTCAATTACCGTATTTTTGGCTCTATAAGATTCACTTTTTCCCTCCTAAAAAGTAAGGGGAAGTGCGTGTGCGTCTTATGGAGCGGATGCAGGCTGCACAGCTATCCCAGAAGCCAGAACAGCAAGAGGGATTGCTGCTTTCACTGCGCAGCAATCCCTCTTGCTGTTCTGGCTTCTGAGATTCAGAATATTTTTTTTCTTGTTTTCCTTCTCCAAAAACTAGGTGCATCTTGTGGTCTGGTGCATCTTATAGAGCGAAAAATATGGTATCTGCAGAATGAAAAACACTCACAAACTCTCCTTGGTCACCTCAAAAGTAAGGTAAGCTTCACATAGGCATCTCAATGATTACTGTCAGAACAGGATTCTGGACTAGACGAGCGACTGACTAATCCATCTGGGCTCTTGTAATGTTCTTAACAAAAATCCTGCACTTTTCCCCATGAGAATTTCACTGAACAATTTGCCCCCCTTTGATGATTTTCCATTGTGATCTCTTTTCTCATTCGTTGATGGGGAATGGTCGTGAAAAACGTGGGGCAAACATTGGGCACACCCCTACTCCAAAGGTTTGTAACACTAAATAAAATGTTTATACCAAAGTCGCGGGACGCTTGTGTGTTTCCTGTGGCATTGCCACTCACTTTTTATGGGGCATCCACATGACACTGGCATCAAACTTTTGCCCTCTTGTGTTTTCAGACTTGCAGAATCACAGAATCATAGATCTGTAAAGTTGGAAGAATCCATAAGGATCATCTAAGCCCTAAACGGCCTTGGTCCTGTATACCTGAAGGAGCGTCTCCACCCCCATCGTTCAGCCCGGACACTGAGATCCAGCGCCAAGGGCCTACTGGCGGTTCCCTCGCTGCGAGAAGTGAGGTTACAGGAAACCAGACAGAGGGCCTTCTCGGTATTGGCACCCACCCTGTGGAACACCCTCCCATCAGATGTCAAGGAAATAAACAACTATCTGACTTTTAGAAGACATCTGAAGGCAGCCCTGTTTAGGGAAGTTTTAAATGTTTGAAGTTTTATTCTGCTTTTAAAGTTCTGTTGAAAGCCACCCAGAGTGACTGGGGAAACCCAGACAGTTGGGTAGGGTAGAAATATATTATTATTATTATTATTATTATTATTATTATTATTATTATTTAGTCCAAGCTCCTACAACACAGGAATCTTTCACCCATGGCGCTCAAACCCATGACCCTGAGATTAAGGGTCTCATGCTCTACCGACTGAGCTAAGAATGAACTTTTGCATGTGTAAAGAATTGAGCCATGGGTAGGTACTTGAACCTATTGTCACCCACAAGTCCCTATCTCAGCACATCTTTACTATTTCTGTCCCAGCCTGAGCCATTATAGCTCTTTACCCCCTTTTTTCTTTTTAAATGATCTGTTAATTTGCACTATTTCACCTGCCTTGTTAAACTCATTATTAAACGTAACAGCACTTGGGTGAACAGGTGTTTTTGTGCAATTTGCGGAGGATTTTAAAACACTTTGACTTTCCTGTCTCGTCTGTTGGCACCCTTTTAACAAAGTGCTTATTTTGGGGTTTCTTTGTTTTTTAAAAAAGATAGTTATAAAAGGTATTAATATATGATATAATGCCGTTGAAATAACCACACACAGAAATGAAATAAGCGAGAACTGATGTAGCATAATGGCTACGAGAGTCAAAATCCAAGGTGATAAACTATCTTTTTTTGTACCAATTTAATCTAAGAGCACTTCCAGGCTGTCACGATTTTCGGATGGGATTGAGCCACACACAAGCAAACATAGGCTGCACAATGAAACCTAATCTGAAACTCTGGTGAAACAAACCAACCTCCCCCAAAGACTGAGCTTTCTTCCATAAGGAAAGTGACAAGGGGAAGGGCACTAGAGAATGTATAAGGATAGCACTTGCTTTGGCACAGCATCAACAAAGCACCAACACCCCACCCTCCGTCAATGAAATAAAAGGAAGTCCTTCTTCATGCAGCGCATCGTTAAACTATGGAATTCACTGCCACAAGAGGCGGCGATGGCCACCAATTAGGATGGCCTCAAAGGAGGATTGAACAAATTAATAGAGGAAAAGCCTATCAATGATTACTGGCCAGGATGGCTATGCACTGCCTTCAGAATCAGCGGCAACAATGCTTCTGAATCACAGTTGCAGGAAATCACAGGGGGAGAGAGTGCTCTTGTGCTTGGGTCTTGCTTGTGGGTGGACACTGTGAGAACAGGATGCTGGACTAGATGGGCCATTGGCCTGATCCAGCGGGCTCTTCTTATGTTCTTATCTTCCTATGAATGCTCATTAAGTAACTAAGGCTGCCTACTCGCTTTGCAAACAAATCAGGATGAACGCTCAATAAACACATCCGCTGCACGGTCAGGGAAAAAACAATGCTGTCCAGGGTTGTAAAGACTGCAGAGAGAATAACTGGGTGCACTCTTCCCACATTGGATCAAATCTATGCTTCCAGGTGCCAGAGATAGTGCAGGATAGTGCGCACCCCGGAAATGATCTCTTTCAGCTTCTGCCTTCTGGAAGAAGGTACAGGGTTATAAAGACTAGGACTAGCCACCTGAGAAACAGTTTCTACCCAAATGCGATTTTGGTTTTAAACACAGTGTAAGGAGTCTCTGTGGGAGTATATTGTATTTAAAAATAGGGTATCAGAGTTTTTAGGGGGCTAACCAAGTTGGGATAGCCGGGATAGCAGGCTTGTTGGTTTTTGAATGTCTTGTGTAGATTTTTCAGTTTCGCTGTTCTGTATGGGACAATGACAATAAAGATTATTATATCGTATCGCTGGAAGAGCCCTGACTGCCAGATTACCATCAGCTCCAGACAGCATGAATAACGGGAGTCATCTAAAATGCATCACATTGGCTACCTCTGGTCTAGATGCTAATCCAAAAGGGAACACCCCAAACACTCAGCTGTCCTTAGAGAAGACACAAGTTTGAAGCCTCAATCTGTCAGGCATGGAAACTCCACTCTTCAAAGGAGAGGGACAGAGATGAAAACGGTGGCCTACCTTACCAGGTTGTAAGGGGGACAACAAAGTGGATTTCTGACAAGTGCTCTCTAAATGGTTCTTACTACTGCTGGCCTTGTGAGATGTCTATCTACAGATGTGTTTTGTTTCTTGGGACTGGAGGGGGATTCCGCTCTGTGTGTGTGTGTGTGTGTGTGAGAGAGAGAGAGAGAGAGAGAGAGAGAGAGAAACTTTGCAAAGGCTGTAGATGAGGAGGGAGGATTGGAGAGGGGGAGGAGAGAGGGAGGGAAGGAGGGGAGGCTTCTCTCTCTCTCTCTCTCTCTCTCTCTCTCTCTCTCTTTCTTTCTCTCACTCATTCTCTCCCCTCTCAGTGTCAAGAAATCTTGGCGAGGAGGAGGAGGCGGCTCTGTCCTGGCTGGTCCCTTTCGCGAGGATGAAAGCCCAGCTTCCCAGCCTGGGGATGCAGTAGGCGGTGACCCCCAAGAGAAGAGGGAGCCCTCAACTTGTAGGCAGCGGTGTGTGTAAGGGGTGGGAGTGGGGTCTCTCTTTCGGGAGATCTCCAAACTCCTGCGCTCGGGACCTTCTTCGCCTCTGGACCGGCAGAGGAGGCGCCCCGGCGGCTGCAGCCCAGCCGAGCCCCGCCGGTCTCTCTCTCTCTCTCTCTCCCTCCCTCCCTGAGCCCCGGAGCCATGCCGTCGCCGCCGCCGCTGCCCTGCCGGGGCTGGACGCTGGCTCTGCTCACGCTGCTGGTGGGGATCCTCATCTTCGCGGACATCTCCGAGATCGAGCTGGAAATCGGGTAAAAAAGAAACAATGGAGCCGGGTTCGATTCCCCCGTGCGTCCTTGCGCTCTGATCCAGGTGGCTCTTGTTGTGGGGGGCGCGATGGGGGGGGGGGCTAAGGGAAAACAGTTTGGGAGAAGCAGGGGGCTTGGAGCCGGGCTGGAGTAGCCGGGTGGGGTGGGGTGGGAAATCAAGCTCTGATTTGGTTCGGGCAGGGGGGCGTGGCGGAGGGGGGCTTGTAAGGTAGGGGACACTTTTAGCTCGGGGGTGGCTTTCCAAAAAGAGGGATCGATGCGAAATGATGCTGGCGGGGGGTTCACAAAGGAGAAGGGAAACCTCTGCGGGGGGGGGGAGTGCGGTTACAAAGGATGGTTTTTCTCTGGGGAAGGAGGATGAGGAAGGGGGCGCGATGGAGTGGAAGGGGGGCTGCAAGAGAAGGAGTGTGTGGGTGGGCTGGGCGAGGGGGGGACTCCGGAGTTTCTTTGTCTCCGCGCGCGCTGCCTCGGCTGCTAGAGCTCTCAGTAGCAAGGGGGGAGCGCTTTCGCTCTAGCCTCTCGCCGACCGAGCCCCCAACCCCTGTACCGGCCAGCGCGGGGTGAGGTTCGAGGGTGGGGTCGGGCTTATCAGCTGCAGTTGTTGGGGGGTTGGGGGGTTAAGGAGTCAATCGATGTGGGTCTTGGGGAGATCTGGAAAGCAGAAAGGAGAGGGGGGCGTGGACCGGCTGGAAGTTGGGGGGGGGAGAGAAACGGGAAATGAGAAAGCCGCCTTGGATACCAAGTCCATCTAGCTCCGTGCTGTCTGCCCTAACCGGCAAGAGGGAAAATTCCCAGCCCCACCTGAAGATGCCCCTGGGTTGAACCTAGGATCTTCTGCGTGCAAAGCAGATGCTCCACCACTGAGCTCTGGTCTCTCCTCTGGGACACAGGAGAACCTCATGTCTTATTTTGATAGTTACAAGCTTAGTGGATCAGGGGGATGCTGTAGATGTAGCATATCTTTATTTCAATAAGGCTTTTGGCAAAGTCCCTCATGATATTGTTTGGTGGATTTGTAGGTAGTTGACTAACCAAACCCAAAGAGTACTCACCAAGGACTCCCCGTCATGGAGGGGGGGGCGTGACAAGTGGGTGCTGCAAGGTTCTGTCCTGGGCATGGTGTTGTTCAACAGTTTTATAAATAGGGACAAGTGTAAGATTGTACAGTTAGGCAGGAATAATCAGATGCCCATATATAGGAAGGAAGACACCTGGTTTGCCTGTAGTATATGTGAAAAGGATCTAGGGCAGGGGTCAGCAACCTTTTTTAGCCATGGGCCAGTCCACCATCCCTCAGACTATGTGGTGGGCCAGACTATATTTTTTTTGGGGGGGTGAACAAATTCCTATGCCCCACAAGTCACCAAGAGATGCATTTTAAATAAAAGGACACATTCTGCTCATGTAAAAACACACTGATTCCTGGACCATCCGCGGGCCGGATTTAGAAGGCGATTGGGCCGCATCCGGCCCCCGGGCCTTAGGTTGCCTACCCCTGATCTGGGAGGTCTTAGTAGACAACAAGCTTAACATGAGTCAACAGTGTGATGCTGCAGCAAGAAAAGCTAATGCAACTCTGGGCTGCATCAACTGAAGTAATAGTCCAGTTTAAGAGAAGTAATAGTACCATTATATTGTCTTATATCACACCCCACTGAGTACTGTGCCCAGTTCTGGGCACCACAATTTAAGAAGGATATTGGCAAACTAGAACTCATGCAGAGGAAGGCAACCAAGATGCTCAAGGGTCTGGAAACCAAGCCTTATGAGGAACAGTTGAGGGAGTTGGGTATGTCTAGCCTGGAGAAGAGAAGACTAAGAGATGAAGCAATAGCCATCTTTTAAATATCTGAAGGGCTGTCATGTGGAAGATGGAGCAAGCTTGTTTTGTGTTGCTCCAGAGGGGAGGATCCAAACCAATGGATTCATGTGACAGGAAAAGAGATTCCAACAAAACTTGAGGAATAATTTCTGATGGTAAGAACAGTAGAACAGATGAGCTGGGAAGGTGGTAGACTCTCCTTCGCAGGAGGCTTTTAAACACAGCTTGGATGCCCATCTGTTAGGGTTTTCTTAGCTGTGATTCCTCCATTGCAGGACTACATGAAGACTGGGGTCCCTTCCAACTCCACAGTTTTCTGGTTCTATGAAAGATACAGTTGCTCCTCTAGTTCAGCATTGCCTACGCTGACTGGCAGCAGTTCTCCAGGGTTTCAGGCAGGGGTCTACCCCACCAGGCCAACTTGGAGACCCCAGGGATTGACCTGAGACCTTCTGTGTGCGAAGGAGATGCTCTGCCACTGAGCTACATCTCTGCATCTTGGGATAGGGACTTGTAGAAGGGCTGGTTTCATGCAAGAAGTACTGAAAAGCTCCAGGTTTAGCACTTGAGAAATGTTGGAAGTTTAAAGTGGGAGACATGGATCCACCACACTCCATTGACAACAATGGCATTGTTGGCAAAGCTGGAAAGTGTTAGGCATCATGCTCAGGTGTAGGTAAAAGGTAAATGACCCCTGGACAGTTACGTCCAGTTAAAGGCGATTGTGGGGTTGCAGCGCTCATCTCACTTTTCAGGCCAAGGGAGCCGTCGTTTGTCCACAGATGGCTTTCCAGGTCATGTGGCCAGCATGACTAAACTGCTTCTGGCACAATGGAACACCATGACAGGTGTCAGAGCGCACGGAAATGTCGTTTACCTTCCCACCACAGCGGTACCTATGTATCTACTCACACTGGTGTGCTTTCGAACTGCTAGGTTGGCAGGAGCTGGGACAGAGCCACGGGAGCTCGCCCCATTGCATGGAGTCGAACTGCCAACCTTCTGATCGGCAAGCCCAAGAGGCTCAGTGGTTTAGACCACAGCGCCACGAACGTCCCTCAGGTATATGTAGCAGGGAGGCAATAACCATTCATTGTACTTATCCTTTTTCTGCCCTAGTGCTTGTGACATGGATAAAAGCCCCTTTTGCAATGGTTCTCCCCTTCTCTGTGTACCTACTCCACACTTGTAGGACCCAGCCGTAGTGTTTGTTTTGAAGGGAATGTCTTAAGTAAGAGGAGACCACAATGCCCCAGGGCAGGTACTGAGTGCAATTCTCTCAATACGGAATACTAATTTCAGATCCACGTTCTTTAAGTGTGCATTAAATGTATGGTGCCTTTACAGTGCCACCATACATTTAAAGAACATTGCTTCCCCCAAAGAACACTGGGAACTGCTAAGGATGTTGGGAATTGCAGCTCTGCAACATATCAGTTATAGTTCCCAGCATTCCTCGGGGGAAGCCGCATGCTCCAAATGTGCTTTAAATGCTCAGATGCTGCTTGTAGGTTTCCAATTGGGGCAACTGGTTGGCCATTGTGAGAATAGGAGACTGGATTAGCTAGGTGGGCCTTTGGATCCAGCTGGGCTCTTCTTATGTTCTTGTGGACTTGAACTCCCAAGGGAAAGGCTGTTTGGGGACATAGGAAACTGTCTTGTGCTGATTGAGACCATTTGTCAATCTAATTCAAGATGACTTCTGAACACCAGTTGCTGGCAATCCCAAAAGGGGAGAGCTACTGTTGTGCTCTGGTCCTGCTTGCAAGCTTCCCACAGGGGCACCTGGTTGGCCACCATGGAAAAGGGATGCTGGAGTAGACAGTTCTCTGCCCTAAGCCAGCAGAGCTTTTCTTATGTTCTGTCATTCTGGAGAAAAGGGTTGGGTGGATATCTGCTGTGGGCACTTCCTGGTCAGGGATGGGTTTGGCGAATAGTCAGGGAGGGAGGACAGAAGTTAGAGTCTCTCCACCTCTGCCTTAGATGTTGCTGTCAGTCTTGTATTAGGCTGAGTAGAGAATAAAATGAAGAGAGCTCTTCCACTTTCCTATTATTCTGTGATGGAGCGTGTGGTCCTGATTAGACCAAGGAGGGAGGAGCACTCCATCAAGTTGAAGGGGAAGCTGCTAGTCTAGATACGGATGGAGCAATGTGTAAAAATGTAGTTCTCAGACTGTGCCATGAGAAATCAATCACGTAATTAAAGACTGTTGTGACTCCAGAGTAGCCATTGATGCAGCAGACTGTCTGCTGCATTTTGGCACAAAACACCACCTTCTTCCTTCCAGTTAGGAAGCAGAGCAGTTTCTTGTGCAGGTATCCAGAAGGTGGACTGCTCCTTACTTGCCCTAACTAAAAGGTACACCTTTAGAGGTGCAATTGTGAAAAGTCCCTCTAGATATAAATCAGAAGGGAAGAGTCTCAGTCGTCAGGGAGAGATTCATGCCCTCCTACATTTTTCCAAAGAAAATAGGGACATCCTATGGAAAAGTGGGACATTCAGGGATCAAATCAGAAACCGGGATGGCTTCTGTAAATTCGGGACCACCCCTGGAAAATAGGGACACGTGGAGGGTCTGAGATTTGGTACTTGCCAAACTGGAATGGGATAGGACAGAAGAACAGTAGAAGAGTCTCGTTGGGTCAGGCCAATGGCCCATCCAGTCCAGCACCCTGTTCCTTTAAAAATAATAATAATAATAATAATACATTTTTATTTGATTTTCCAAAATATGAACATACAACCAAAACAATTCCCAATCTAATTATCGATATTACTCTGAATCTCCTGACTTCCCCCCATCCCTTCCATGGGTCCTATTGGTTCAGTTTTCAACTACCTATCAATACTTCTCCAATTTTTCATCTTCCTAGGTTATCTATACGTTCTATTACATTACAAGTGTGTTTTAAAAAGGTAAAGGACCCCTGGCAGTTAAGTCCAGTCGCAAACGACTCTGGGGTTGCAGCGCTCAGCTCACTTTACTGGCCGAGGGAGCCGACGTGTGTCCACAGACAGTTTTTCCAGGTCATGTGGCCAGCATGACTAAGCCGCTTCTGGTGAAACCAGAGCAGTGCACAGAAACGCCGTTTACCTTCCTGCTGGAGAGGTACCTATTTATCTACTTGCAGTTTGACATGCTTTCAAATTGCTAGGGTGGCAGGAGCAGGGACCAAGCAACGGGAGCTCACCCTGTCGCGGAGATTCAAACCGCCAACCTTCCGATTGGCAAGCCCAAGGCTCAGTGGTTTACACCATAGCACCACCCGCATCCCACAAGTGTGTTTAAGATCCTGCTAATGTTTTGACTTGTTCGCAATGATTTTATATATACATTATAAACATTTCCCATTCTTTTTTTTAAATTTCGTGTTTTCTTGATTCCTAAGCTTCCCAGTTAGTTTTGCCATTTCAGCATAGTCCATCAATTTGATTTGCCATTCTTCTCTAGTTGGGGTTATCTCTTCCTTCCATCTCTGGCCTCAGTCCAGCCCCCTGTTCCAATCAGATGCCCCAATGGGAAACCTGCAAGCAAGACCCGAGCAGAAGAGCCCTCAAACAGCAAAATGGGGCATGCCCCGCCCCCCGATTCCAGATAATTTGTTAATTGAGCATTCATCCTGATATGTTTGCAGGAAGGTTAGATGATGTTGCATCGAGCATCACTCCACACTTCCCAGGGCATTTTTCCATCACTTTCCATATCACAAAAAAGTCCAATCTTTTAGGGAAGTGAGATTGTGGCACAAAAACCTCCCAATCAGCTTTAATCGCACAACCTAAATTAGTCCATGTGTGGTTGAATCCCACTTGAAAATAGTGACAGCCTGGAAACAAGCTATACTGGAACTTGATTGAGCATTTGTGCTGATTTGATTCTGTGGCAGTCATAAGACAATGAACACTCACCTGGTATTCATCCTGATTTGCTTGAGGGCTGTTGAGTCATTAGTCCCATTAGTAATTTGCTCATACTATACTTTACAGCAGATTTCCCTATCATTTTTCAAGCCACCAGAAGTCAATTATTATTATTATTATTTTAAATGCATTTGTTGCACTTTAATTGTGCAAACCTACACCTACTATAGGCACTTAATCCCTCCCACATAGCTGTGAGACTGTGGAGATGGCTCAGGGTTTTAACCCTAAATCCGCTGGAGGGTTCTCCGTAGAAGGCCTTGGTCTCAATGACTGGGGAACCCGTGACTTTCAAGATGTTTTTGGACACCCGTCAGTGCCTGTCGGTGAAGCCAAAGGAGCTGTAGATCAGAGAATCAGAGAATCACAGAACCATAGAGTTGGAAGGGACCTTGAGGATCATCTTGTCCAGTCCTCTGCAATGCAGGAATATGCAGCTGTCAGTTATGGGACTCGAACCTGCAACCTTGGCATTATCAGCACCACACTGAAACATCTGGAGGCCCAGGAGTTCTCTACACCTGGAAACTTGGGTCGTCTAAGGAGAAGCAGGGCATCACTTCCCCATCCAAATTTCTGTCCCTCTCCCCCACCCTGAGAAAAATTACATTGTGTCCTAATCATTCCCCTTTATCATGAAATCAATTAGGCACTAGAGAGTGCCTTAGGAAGGATGCCCAGTTTCTGCCTGGCACACAGCTTGCGGTTATTTTATTCCCAACCCACCCCCCAACAGCAACAAAAATTAATTCACCATCTCCTTCCTTCTCCTGCACCAGGATACAGTGTGAATGATGAGGCGCAGGTGAGGGAGGTTATCAGAGGGATAATAACCTGCCTTTGAATTAACCAGGAGCAACCACTGGAAGAGACAGGGATGAGATGTGAAATGGGCCGGTGGCCGGTTCTGGTCTGGCGGTCCCAGTGTAATGACAATCATGTCAGGCTATATTTATGTATAGGATGCTGGTCTCCCCACCCCCCACCCCCGGTCTGCTCCCACCCATTCTCAGCAAGCAGACCTTTTAGATCCCACTTTCCACATTCTCCCTCTTTGTTTTCCTGTCTTCTTTCTTCTCTTCCTTCCATGTTTCCTGGGGGATCTTTAGAGGCAAGGATGGGGAAGAAATTCGATCCAAATCCATCTCCTTTGCACTTTCTGAAGCACTGCACAAACCAAAACACAGCCCTTTTCCAAATTTCGCATACCTCCGAATTTTGCAATTGTATTTCATGCGTACAACAATGACTATACAGGAGTAAAGAGTTCTTTACTGAGTCAAACCACTGGCTTATCTAACTCAATAATATCTACAATGATTGGCTTGTGACTTTCCAGCTTTACCTGGAGATGCAAAGGATTGAACCTGGGGATAATTGTGTTTCAGTTCTCTTATTGCTTCAGAGAATGAAGATTAGGTAGTTTCACATTAAAATGTGAATTCCCGTGAACCAAATTTCTCCCCATTGTTACTTCTGAGCAGTAGTATTAGACTGGTGTATTTGTATCTGGTCATCACAGAACAAGTGAACTTGGAGCTGAATAAACCGCCACACAAACAGATGTAAAA